ATCCAGTCCAACCCTCTCCACCCATCCATCATTCCCTCTCTCATCCATCCATCCATCATCTATTCTTCTCTAGAGGTCTTAAAACAGGCCGGATGGCCATCTTTGGGAGGGCTTTGGTTGTGTCTCCTTTCTGGCAAAGAGGGATGTCCTTTGAGGGTCCCTTCCAACTCAGACTCCTAGGGTTGAAAGGGACCCTCAAAAGTCATCTAGTCCTACCCTCTCCATCCATCTATCCATCTATCAATTCCATCTCTCGTTCGTCCATCCATCCATCTATCTATCAATGCTTCATCTCTAGAGGTCTTCAAATAAGGCAGATGGTCATTTGTTGTGAGGGCTTTGGTTGTGTTTCCTTCCTGCAAAGAGGGATGGCCCTTCCAACTCAGATTCCTAGAGTTGGAAGGGACCCTCAAAGGCCATTTAGTCCAACCCTCTCAATCCATCCATCTATCGATTCCATCTCCTATCCACCCATCTATCTATCTATCTATCATCTATCTATCTATCTATCTATCTATCTATCTATCTATCTATCTATCTATCTATCTATCTATCTATCTATCCTTTTTCTCTAGAGGTCTTAAAATAGGGCGGATGGTTATCTGTTGGGAGGGCTTTGGTTGTGTCTCCTTCCTGACAAAGAGGGTTGGACTGGATGGCCTTTGAGGGTCCCTTCGAACTCTAGGAGTCTATCTCATCTGTCTCTTCCTGTCCAAGGGGCGGAATTCTAGGGGGCGGGACACAATTGTAGCCCCTTCCTCATATCTCTCAATGGTCAGGAGGGAAGGAAACTCTGCTCCAATTAAGAGGAATGGCCTTGGCCTTCTCTGCTGCAGAGCCACACCTCTGGCTTTGGTTCCCCAAGCCCTCTTTTCCTTTGAGGGGTCCCGTTTCCCCCTCTTCCCTGGTCGAGGTCGGGAAAAAGGAAGGAAGAGGAGGAAGTGGGAGGAAGAGAGGCGGCGGGGCCGGTCCCGAGTGGAAATGCCTGACTCACGCCCAGAGACAGAGACAGAGAAAGAGACGGGCGGAGCTGCCGTCATTTTCCCGGAGGGAAAAAAGGAAGGAGGGAGATGGGAGAGATTAAGGAGGGAGGAAAGGAGGGAGGAAAGGAGGGAGGGAAGCAGGCAGGCGAACAAACAAGGAAGCTTGGCTCCCGCCTGTGGTTTGCAACCGCTGAGGCTCTGATCCACTTTTCCACGCATCGTGGGCATCCCTGAGACTAGAGCCAGGCTGTGGAGATGTTTACCAAGCATTGAAATCCCACAGTCCAGCTGGGTCACTCCCGACTTGAGGGTTTGGAAGCAGAAGCTGGATGGCCATCTGCTGGGAGGGCTTTGGTTGTGCTTTTCCTGCCTGGCAGAAAGGGGGTGGACTAGATGGCCTTTGAGGGTCCCTTCCAACTCTAGGATTCTATCTCTCCACCCATCCATCTATCGATACCATCTCTCATCTATCTATCCTTCTATTCTTGAGGTCTTAATAATAGACTCGTGGCCATCTGCTGGGAAGGCTTTGGTTGTGCTTTTCCTGCCTTGCAGACAGGGGGTGGACTAGATGGCCTTTGAGAATCCCTTCCAACTCTAGGAGTCTATCTCTCTACTCACCCATCTATCGATTCCATTTCACATCTATCTATCTCTATTCTTCTCTAGAGGTCTTAAAGCAGGCTAGATGGCCATCTGCTAGGAGGGCTTTGGTTGTGTCTCCATCCTGGCAATGAGGGTTGGACTGGGTGGACTTCGAGGGTCCCTTCCAACTCTAGGAGTCTATCTCTCCACCCATCCATCTATCGATTCCATCTCTCATCTATCTATCTATCTATCTATCTATCTATCTATCTATCTATCTATCTATCTATCCTTCTCTAGAGGTCTTAAACCAGGCTAGATGGCCATCTGCTGGAAGGGCTTTGGTTGTGTCTCCATCCTGGCAACAAGGGTTGGACTGGGTGGCCTTTGAGGGTCCCTTCCAACTCTAGGATTCTATCTCTCCACCCATCCATCTATCGATTCCATCTCTCATCTATCTATCTATCTATCTATCTATCTATCTATCTATCTATCTATCTATCCTTCTTCTCTAGCAGTCTTAAAGCAGGCTAGATGGCCATCTGCTAGGAGAGCTTTGGTTGTATCTCCTTCCTGGCAAAAGAGGGCTGGACTGGGTGGCCTTCGAGGGTCCCTTCCGACTCTAGGATTCTATCTCTCCACCCATGCATCTATCTATTCCATCTCTCATCTGTCTATCAATCCTTCTTCTCTAGAAATCTTAAAACAAGCTGGATGAACATCTGTTGGGAAGGCTTTGGTTGTGTCTCCATCCCGGCAAAGAGGGTTGGACTTCGAGGGTCCCTTCCAACTCTATCTCATCTGTTTCTTCCTATCTATCGTCTTCTTCTGTAGAGATCTCAAAATAGAGGCTGGATTATTATTATTATTATTATTATTATTATTATTATTATTTATACCACACTTTATCTCTCCCAAAGGGGGCTCAAAGCGGCCATCTGTATTTATGTACATATTTATTTATTTACTTGTATCCCGCTTTTCACTTTTTGGTTGTATGTGTTTCTTTCTGGCAGAAGGGGGTGGACTAGATGGCCTCTGAGGGTCCCTTTCAACTAGGATTCCATTCATCCATCTATTTTATCTCTCATCTAGCATCAGCTTCTTCTCTAGAGGTCTTAAAACAGGCTAGATACCTATCAGGAGGGCTTTGGTTGTGTCCATTCCTTTCTGGCAGCAGGGGTGGACTGGATGATCTTTAAGGGTCCCAGCCCCAAGAGTTTATCTATCCACCCATCTATTTATTTCATCTGTCATCTATCTATCTATCTATCTATCTATCTATCTATCTATCTATCTATCTATCATCTATCTATCTATCTATCTATCAGGCCATCTGATGGGAGGGTCTTGGTTGTGTCTCCTGCCTGGCATAAGAGGGCTGGACTGGATGTCCTTTGGGGTCCCTTCTAACTCTAGGAGTCCATCTATTATCTCAAAACGGAGGCTGGATGGCCATCTGTTGGATGCGCTTGGGTGGTGTACATTCCTTTCTGGCAGAAGGAGGTGGACTAGATGGCCTCTGAGGGTCTCTTCCAACTCTAGGAGACTATCTACCATATCCTTCTCTAGAGATCTCCAAACAGAGGCTGGGTGTCCATCTGCTGGGATGGTTTTAGTTGTGTGTGCATTCCTTTCTGACAGAAGAGGGCTGGACTACATGGCCACTGAGGGTCCCTCCAACTCTAGGAGTCCATCTACGATCTTCCTCTCTAGAGAGATTCAGAAGAGAGACTGGATGGCCATCTACTGGAAGGGCTTTGGTTGTGTGCGGTCCTTTCTGGCAGAAGAAGGCTGGACTAGATGGCCTCTGAGGTCCCCTTCCAACTCTGGGATCTTTTCCTTTAGAGATCTCCAAACAGATGCTGGGAGTCCATCTGCTGGGAGGGCTTCAGTTGTGTGTGCGTTCCTTTCTGGCAGAAGAGGGCTGAACTAGATGGCCTCTGAGGATCCCTTCCAACTCTAGGAATCCATCTATGATCTTCTTCTCTAGAGATATCAAAAGAGACACTGGATGGCCATCTGTTGGGAGCGATTGGATGGTGTACATTCCTTTCTGGCAGAAGGGGGATGACTAGATGGACTCTGAGGGTCCCTTCCCTCTCTAGGATCTTCTTCTCTGGAGATCTCAGAGAATGGAAGGCCATCTTGTCGAGGCCAAGTTCCTCTGGAGTTGAGATTCCTAGAGTATGGAAGGCCATCTGTTGGGAGCGATTGCGTGGTGTACATTCCTTTCTGGCAGAAGGGGGAGGACTAGATGGCCTCTGAGGGTCCCTTCCAACGCTAGGATCTTCTCTAGAGATCTCCAAACAGAGGCTGGGTGTCCATCTGCTGAGAGGGTTTTAGTTGTGCATGTGTGTTCCTTTCTGGCAGAAGGAGGTGGACTAGATGGCCTCTGAGGGTCCCTCCCAACTCTTGGAGACTATGTATCATATCCTTTTCTAGAGATCTCCAAACAGAGGCTGGGTGGGTGTCCATCTGCTGGGAGGGTTTTAGCTGTGTGTGTGTGTGTGTGAGTGTTCCTTTCTGGCAGAAGGGGGTGGATTGGATGGCCTCTGAGGGTCCCTCCTAACTCTAGAAATATCCAAACAGAGGCTTGGGTGTCCATCTGCTGAGAGGGTTTTAGTTGTGTGTGTGTGTTACTTCCTGGCAGAAGGGGGTGGGCTGGCCGGCCTTGAGGGTCCCCCCCAACTCTAGAGATCCCTAAACAGAGGCTGTGTGCCCATCTGCTGGGAGGGTTTGAGTTGTGTGTGTGTTCCTTTCTGGCAGAAGGTGTTGGACTAGATGGCCTCTGAGGGTCCCTTCCAACTCTAGGAGACTTTGTATCATATACTTTTCTAGAGATCTCCAAACAGAGGCTGGGTATCCATCTGCTGGGAGGGTTTTAATTGTCCTTAGTTGTGTGTGTGTATGTGTGTGTGAGAGAGAGAGAGTATTCCTTTCTGGCAGAAGGGAATAGATTGGATGGCCTCTGAGGGTCCCTTCCAACTAGAGCGGCATATCAATAAAGTTATTATTATTATTATTATTATTGTTGTTGTTGTTGTTGTTGTCTCCAAACAGAGGCTGTGTGTCCATCTGTTGGGAGGGTTTTAGTTGTGTATGTGTGTGTGTGTGTTCCTTTCTGGCAGAAGGGGGTGGGCTGGATGGCCTCTGAGGGTCTCTTCCAACTATAGAGATCCCCAAACAGAGGCTGGGTGTCCATCTGCTGGGAGGGTTTTAGTTGTGTGCGCGCGCGTGTGTTCCTTTCTGGCAGAAGGGGGTGGATTGGATGGCCTCTGAGGGTCCTTTCCAACTCTAGAGATCCCCAA